CAGGTGGAGACCCAAAATCCTCTAGGATGGATCCCCCAAGTCCTCTGGGATTGAGACCCCAAATCCAGGAGGATGAATCCCCAAATCTCTTGGGATGGATCCCCCAAATCCCTCAGGTGGATTCCTCAAATCCATTGGGATGGATCCTCCAAATCCTCTGGGATGGAGACCCCAAATCCTTTAGGACGAAATCCCCAAATCCCCCAGAAGGGAGACCCCAAATCTCACAGGATGGATCCTCCAAATCCTTTGGGATGGAACCCCCAAATCCTTTGGATGGAGCCCCCAAACCCCTCAGGATGGATCCCCAAATCCTCTGGGATGGAGTCCCCAAATCCTCTGGAATGGAGCCCCCAAATCCTTAAGGATGAAATCCCCAAATCCTTTGAGGTGGATCCCCCAAATCCTTTGGGATGGAACCCCCAAATCCTTTGGGATGGAGACCCCAAATCCCACAGGAATGGAACCCCAAATCCTTTAGGATGGAGTCCCCAAATCCTCTGGGATGGATCCCCTAAATTCTCTGGGATGGAGCCCCCAAATCCTCAGGGATGAAATCCCCAAATCCTCTGGGGTGGATCTCTCAAATCCTTTGGGATGGAGCCCCCAAATCCCTCAGGTGGATCCCCCAAATCCTCAGGGTGAATCCCCCAAATTCCACAGGGTGGATCCCCCAAATTCTTTGGGATAGAGCCCCCAAATCCCTCAGGATGGAGCCCCCAAATCCCTTGGGATGGAGCCCCCAAACCCCTCAGGATGAAGCCCCAAATCCTCAGGGGTGGATCCCCCAAATCCCTTGGGATGGAGACCCCAAATACCCTGGGATGAAATCCCCAAATCCTTTGGGGTGGATCCCCCAAATTCTTTAGGATGAAATCCCCAAATTCTTTGGGATGGATCTCCCAAATCCCTCAGGATGGAGCTCCCAAATCCCTTGGGATGAATCCCCCAAATCCTTTGGGATGGATCCACCAAATCCTCTGGGATGGAGCCCCCAAATCCCACAGGAATGGAACCCAAAATCCCTTGGGATGGATCCCCCAAATCCACTGGGATGGATCCCCCAAATCTTCTGGTGTGGATCCCCCAAATCCCTTGGGATGGAGCCTCGAAATCCTCTGGGATGAAATCCCTCAAATCCTTTGGGATGGATCCCCCAAATGCACTGAGATGGATCCCCCAAATCCCTCATGTGGAGACCCAAAATCCTCTAGGATGGAGCCCCCAAATCCTTTGGGATGGATCCCCCAAATCTCTCAGGATGGAGATCTCAAATTCCCTGGGATGGAGCCCCAAGAACAATCCCAGGAGTTTCCCAAATCCTGGAGAAACCCCAAAATCCCCAAAAGTCCCCCCAAAAACCCCAAAAGTCCCCCCAAACCCCAGGCGCACTCACCTGGGCCAGGTGCCAGGGACAGCGGGGCTGGAGCTGGGGGAGTGTGGGGTCAAAGGTCAGGGACCCCCAAATTTTGGGGACCCCCCCATCCCTGGGGACCCCCCAATCTCTGGGGAACTCCCCCAGATTTCTGGGATCCCCCCAGAATTTTGGGAACCCTCTCAATCCCTGAAAAACCCCAAATTTTGGGGACCTTCCCAATCATTGGGGACCCCTCTGATCATTGAGAATTCCCAAATTTTGGTGACCCCCCCCCCCCACGATCTCTGGAGACCCCACATTTTGGGAGAACCCCCCTCAATCCCCCAAAAAATCTCCTCCATCCCTGCGGACCCCAAATTTTTGAGGATCCCCAAAATTTCAGGGACTACCCCAAAAAATTCCAGGACCTTTCCCAGATTCCCCCCCCAAAATCTCAGGGGACCCCAAAAAACCTCTGTGACCCCCCCCCCACCAAAAATATTCAGAGACCCCTCTCAAAATCTTGGGGGTCACCCCAAAAATTCCCAGACCCCAAAAATCTCAGGGGATCCCCAAAGTCTCAGGGACTCCCCCAAAAAGCCTTAAAATCCCCCAAAACCCCAAAAAATCCCCCCAGGACACCCCAAAAACCTCCCTAAGGGGCTCTCCCAAAGGCTCAGGGAACCCCAAAAAAACCTCAAGGGTCCCCCAAACACCCCAAAAAACTCAAGGGCTCCTCTAAGGGATCCCCCAAAGGCGCAGGGACCTCCCAAAAATCTCAGGGACCCCTCAAAACCCCCAAGGAGCCCCAAAAACCTCAACAACCTCAAGGACTTCCCTAAGGGAACCCCCCAGAGGCCCCAAGGGCCCCCCAGGACCCCCCAAAATTCCCCCAAAATCTCCAAGGAACCCCACAGGACACCCCAAAAAACCCAAGGACCCCTCTAAGGGATTCCTCAAAGGCGCAGGGACCCACAAAACCTCCTCAAAAATCCAAAAAAGCCCCCAAGGGTCCCCCAAAAACCTCCAAGGAGCCCCCAAAACCCCCTCAAAACCCCAAGGACTCCCCTAAGGACTCCCCCAGAGGCCCCAAGGGTCCCCTCAGGACCCCCCAAACCCCCTGAGGGTCCCCCTAGGACACCTCAAACCCCCTCAGGGCCCCCCCAGGACACCCCAAAAAAACCAAAGACCCCTCTAAGGGATAGCCCAAAGGCCCAGGGACCCCCAAAACCCCCTCAAAAACCCCAAAAATCCCCAAGGATCCCCCAAAAACCCCAAGGACTCCCCTAAGGGACTCCCCAAGAGGCCTCAAGGGCCCTCTCAGGATCCCCCAAACCCCCTCAGAGCCCGCCAAACCCCCCCAGGACCCCCCAAACCACCCCGGGTTCCCTCAGAGGCTCCCCCAGAGCCCCCCCCGGACTCTCGGGGTCCCCCCCGAGCTCTCCCTAAGGCCGCCCCGCCCCTCCCGCGATCCCGCCCCGGAGCCGGGACAGGCCCGAACCCGCGGGGGCCGCGGCCGCAGCGGGCCCGGCGGAGGCCGCGCACCGACCCGAGCGTCCCGGAGGCTCCCGGCGGGTCCCGGACGGTGCCGGGGGGCGCGGCCGGGCTCAGTGGCGGCCGCCGCGGGTCCCCCCGGCCGCTCCAGAGCCGGCCCCGGGACCGGGCCCCGCCGCCGCCATCTTTAACGCGCCGCCCCCGCCGCCGCCTCGCTTGGCGGCACCGGGCGACGCTTTTGCGGCACCGCGGGCGCCGCTTTACGGCAGCGGCCGTTGCGCGATGGCGGCGGGAGCGGCGCCCCCCTCACAGCGGGCGTTGCCATGGGAACGGCGCCCCCCCCTCACACAGCAACCCCGTTATTGGGGGCCGCTGTGGGGTTATGGCGTCATTACAGGGTCACCAATGGGTTATGGGGTCAGTATAGGGTCACCTCCAGTGTTATTGTAGGGTCATGCCTGTTTAGGGTCACCCTGGGGTCCCCAATAGCGTTACAATGGGTTATGGGGTCATTATAGGGTCACCAGTGGGGTTATGGGGTCATTAGAGGGTCATCCCAATGTTATTGTAGGGTCACCCCTGTTTAGGGTCACTCTAGGGTCCTCAATGGGATTACAATGGGTTACGGCGTCATTATAGGGTCACCAATGGGTTATGGGGTCATTATAGGGTCACCAGGGGGGTTATGGGGTCATTATAGGGTCATCCCTATGTTATTGTAGGGTCACACACGTATAGGGTCACCGCAGGGTCAGCAATGGGTTTATGGGGTCACCCTGTGTTGTAGGGTCACCTCTGTTTAGGGGCACTATAGGGTCACCCACTGGGACATGGGCCATTATAGGGGCACCCATGGGGTTATGGGGTCATTATAGGGTCCACAGTGGGGTTAGAGGGGCACTATAGGGTCACCCCAATGTTATTGTAGGGTCACCCCTGTTTAGGGTCACTCTAGGGTCACCAATGTTATTGTAAGGTCCCCAGTGGGGTTATAGGGCCACCCCTGTTTGGGGTCACTGCCGGATCACCAATGGGGTTATGGGGTCATTATAGGGTCACCCCAATGTTATTGTAGGGTCATCCCTGTTTAGGGTCATTATAGGGTCACCAATGGGATTATAGGGTCATTATAGGGTCATCAGTGGGGTTATGGGGTCATTATAGGGTCACCAATGGGGTTATGGGGTCACCCTGTGTTATAGGGTCACCTCTGTTTAGGGGCACTATAGGGGCACCCATGGGGTTATGGGGTCATTATAGGGCCACCAGTAGGGTTATGGGATTATTATAGGGTCACCCCAATGTTATTGTAGGGTCACCCCTGTTTAGGGTCATTATAGGGCCACCAGTGGGGTTATAGGGTGATTATAGGGTCATCAATGGGGTTAGATGGGCACTATAGGGTCACCAGTGGGGTTATGGGGTCATTACAGGGTCCACAGTGGGGTTACAGGGTCACCTCTGTTTAGGGTCACTGTAGGGTCCCACCCCTGTAGGGTCCCCAGTGTCCCACAGTGTCCCAAATGTCCCCCCAATGTCCCAAATGTCCCTATAGGGTCCCCAATGCCTCTGTAGAGTCCCCAGTGTCCCCATAGTGTCCCCAATGTTCCCACTGTGTCCCCACAATGTCCCTGTAGGGTCCTTAATGTCCCCCCAGTGTCCTCAATGTCCCTGTAGGGTCCCCAGTGTCCCCAATGTCCCTGTAGGGTCCTTAATGTCCCCCCAGTGTCCCCCGTATCCTCAACGTCCCTGTAGGGTCCCCAATGTCCCCAGTGTCCCCCCAATGTCCCTATAGGGTCCCCAATGTCTCCTCAGTGTCCCTACAATGTCCCCCCAATGTCCCCTCAGTGTCCCCACAATGTCCTCCCAGTGTCCCCTCAGTGTCCCCAATGTCCCCCCAATGTCCCCCCAATGTCCCCTCAGTGTCCCCAGTGTCCCCGAGCAGGCGCAGCCGTTCCCGTCACCATCTCTTTATTGGGGTCACCGGGGGGTGAGGGGGGGACACCTCCCCACATTGGGGGGGTCCCTGTGCCCCCCACCCCAAAAAACCCCAAAATTGGGGTGGGGGGGAGGCGCCAACCCCACTGCTGGGCTCCTCTGCACCTCCTTTATGGGGCTGGGGCACCCCAAATCCCCAAATCCGGGGGGCACCCAAAGCCATGGGGCACCCCAAATCCGGGGGGGCACCCCAAAGCCATGGGGCACCCCAAATCCATGGGGAGGACACCCCAAATCTGTGGGGTCACCCCAAACGTGCCCTACATGAGGCGGCACTGCTCCCCTGTGAGGTTCAGTCCTGGCGGCTGTGGGGGGGACATTGGGGTCACCCCGAATCTGTGGGGTCACCCCAAATCCCAGAGGGGTGCCCCATAGCCATGGGACACCCCAAATCCCAGAGAGGCACCCCAAAGCTGGGGGGAACCCCAAATCTATGGGGTCACCCCAAATCTATGGGGTCATCCCAGTTCTATGGGATCACCCCAAAGCTTTGGGGTCACCCCAAATCTATGGGATCACCCCAGTTTTATGGGGTCACCCCAAAGCTGAGGAGTCACCTCAAATCTTTTGGAATCATCCCAATTCTACGGGGTCACCTCAAATCTATGAGATTACCCCAAACTTTACAAGGTCACCCCAAATCTTTTGTGGTCCGCCCAATTCCATGGGGTCACCACAGTTCTATGGGGTCACCCCAAATTGATGGGATCACCTCAGTTCTGTGGGGTCACCCCAAATGTTTTGGAGTCACCCCAAATCTTTTGAGGCCACCCCAAATCTGTGAGTTCACCCCAATTTTAATGGGATCTCCCCAATTCCATGAGGTCACCCCAAATCCTCTGGGGTCCCCCCAGTTCTATGGGACCACCCCAAACCCTTTGGGTGACCCCAAACCCTTTGGGTGTCCCCAAACACTCACCGTGTCCCCTGCCAGCTCCTTGGGGGGGTGGCCCAGGTCCTGCAGCTGTGAGGGGACACAGAGGGGACACGAGGACATTGGGGGGGACATGGGGACATGGGGGGGACAGAGGGACATGAGAGGGACATGGGGAAACAGGGGATGACACAGAGGGGACAGAGGGACATGGTGGGGGACACAGAGGGGACACGGGGACATGGAGGGGACATGGGGACATCAGAGAGCACATGGGGGGGACAGAGGGACACAGAGGGGACAGAGGGACATGGGAGGGACATGGGGACACAAGGAGGGAACAGAGGGACACAGAGGGGACACAGGGGGACATGGGGACACAAGGAGGGGACAGAGGGACACAGAGGGGACACAGGGACATGGGGGAGTCAGAGGGACACGGAGGGGACATGGGGGGACAGAGGGGACATGGGGAGGGACAGAAGGAGGGGACACAGGGACACGAGGGGGACACAGGAACATGAGGATGACACAGAAGGACATGGGGGGGACACGGAGGGGACCCAGGGACATGGGGTGGGCTCAGAGGGACACTGGGGGGACATGGAGGGGACCCAGGGACACCGGGGGGACAGAAGGAGGGGACAGAGGGACACGAGGAGGACACAGGGACATGGGGGGAGTGACATGGAGGGGACCCAGAGCCCTGGGGGGGGTGACAAGGGGGTGACACAGAGAGGACATGGGTGTGACCCAGGGCCCCGGGGCAGTCAGAGGGACACGGGGGTGACACGGAGGGGACCCAGAGCCCTGGGGGGGGGGGGGGGGGGGGGGGGTGACAAGGGGGTGACCCATGGACCCAGGGTGATGACAGGGACACGGGGGTGACATGGAGGGGACACGGGGGTGACACAGAGAGGACCCAGGGCCCCAGGGTTGACACAGAGGGGACACGGAGGTGACACAAAACCCCCAGGGGGTGACACAGAGGGGACCCAGGTCCCCAGGGGGGTGACACGGGAGTGACCCAGAGCCCGGGGGCGGTCAAAGGGACACAGGGGTGACACGGGGGTGACACGGAGGTGACACAGGTCCCCAGGGGGGTGACACGGAGGTGACCCAGGGCCCAAGGGGAGGGTCAGAGGGACACAGGGGTGACACGGGGGTGACACGGAGGTGACACAGGTGACCCTCCAGCCGCACCTGCTGCATCAGGTCCAGCAGGGTCTCGAAGCGCTCCCGGCGCTGCCCCTCGGGCTCCTCGGGCCGCTCCCGCTCCAGCTCCGCGCAGATCCGCAGCATCAGCGCCTGCTGCTGGCCGAACCGCGCCCGCTGCTCCGGGGGCAGGGTCCCCTCGTGCTGCCGGAGCCACTCCGGGTACTGGGGACAGTGAGGGGACAGTGAGGGGACAGTGAGGGAACCCCCAAATCCACCATGGAAACCCCAAATCCCAGCCCCATCAGCGCCTGCTGCTGGCCGAACCGCGCCCGCTGCTCCGGGGGCAGGGTCCCCTCGTGCTGCCGGAGCCACTCCGGATACTGGGGACAGCAGGGGACATCGAGGGGACAGTGAGGGGACACCGGGGTCACTGCAGGATCCCCCAAATCCCAGCCAATCCCAGCCCCATCAACCCTGAACTGTGCAGGGGGCAGGGACCCCTCGTGCTGCCGGAGCCACTCCGGGTACTGGGGACAGCGAGGGGACACCCAGGGGACAGTAAGGGGACACCGGGGTCACTGCAGGATCCCCCAAATCCCAGCCAATCCCAGCCCCACCAGCACCCACAGCTCCGGAGGCAGGGTCCCCTCGTGCTGCCGGAGCCACTCCGGGTACTGGGGACAGCAGGGGACAGTGAGGGGACCCCCAAATCCCCCATGGAACCCCAAATCCCATCCCCATCAGCCCCTGCTGCGCCCTGAACTGTGCCCGCTGTTCTGGGGACAGGGACCCCTCGTGCTGCCGGAGCCACTCCGGGTACTGGGGACAGCAGGGGACAGTGAGGGGACAGTGAGGGAACCCCCAAATCCCCCATGGAAACCCCAAATCCCAGCCAATCCCAGCCCCATCAACCCTGAACTGTGCTGGGGACAGGGACTCCTTGTGCTGCCACAGCCACTCTGATACTGGGGACATTGAGGGGACAGTGAGGGAACCCCCAAATCCCCCATGGAACCCCCAAATCCCAGCCCCATCAGCCCCTGCTGCGCCCTGAACTGTGCCCGCTGTGCCCATGCTGCTGGAGCCACTCTGGGTACTGGGGACACCCAGGGGACATCGAGGGGACAGTGAGGAAACCCCCAAATCCCAGCCATGGAACCCCCAGATCCCCCATGGAACCCCCAAATCCCAGCCAATCCCAGCCCCATCAGCCCTGAACTGTGCTGGGGACAGGGACTCCTTGTGCTGCCACAGCCACTCTGATACTGGGGACATTGAGGGGACAGTGAGGGGACAGTGAGAGGACAGTGGAGTCACTGTAGGAACCCTCAAATCCCCCAGGGAACCCCCAAATCCCCTATGGGACCCCCAGATCCCAACCCACTCAGCGCCCCAAATTGCACCCGCTGCTCTGGGGACAGGGACCCCTCGTGCTGCCGCAGCCACTCTGATGCTGGGGACACCCAGGGGACAGTGAGGGGACAATAGGGTCACTGTAGGAACCCTCAAATCTCCCATGGAACCCCCAAATCGCAGCCAATCCCAGCCCCTCAGTGCCCCAAACTGTGCCCACTGCTCTGGGGACAGGCACCCCTCGTGCTGCCACAGCCACTCCGGGTATGTCCCCATGACTTCCCCAAGTTTCCCAAAGGATTTTGGGGACCCCCCCCCCCAGTTTTTTTGGGCTGCTCTCCCCATTTTTTGGGGTTTCTCCCCGTTTTCTGGGGTCCCACCTTCTCGGTGATCTCCTTGAGAGAGGGGTAGAGCATACCCTTGGACAGCAGGGACTCCTTGATGTCCCCATGACACCCCTGAGTTTCCCACACCCCAAAGGATCCCTCCAAGATTTCAGGAACCCTCCCAGGTTTTCTGGGGTGCCCTCCTCAGGTTTTTTGGGGTGCCCTCCCTGTTTTTGGGGTTTTTGGGGTCCCACCTTCTCGGTGATCTCCATGAGGGAGGGGTAGAGCACATCCTTGGACAGCAGGAACTGCACCATGTCCCCGTAACACCCCTGAATTTCCCACTCATCCGACCAGGATTTTGGGGACTCCCCCAGGTTTTTTGGGGTGCCCTCCCAGTTTTTGGGGTTTCTGGGGTCCCACCTTCTCGGTGATCTCCTTGAGGGAGGGGTAGAGCACGTCCTTGGACAGCAGGGACTCCATGATGCTGCGCATGACGGGCAGGACGCCGTCGCCGCCGCCCTCGTCCAGCCCCAGCCCCTCCAGGGCCTTGGCCAGCTCCTCCTCGGATCCCGGGGAGTTCTGCGGGACCCCCGGGACCCCGTCAGCCCCCCGGGACCCCCGGGACACCCCCGGGACCCCCGGGAAGGGCTGCAGGGAGGGAGGGAGGGGTACCTGGAGGTCGTTGGCGTTCTTGGCCAGCCCGCTCAGCGTCTCCTTGAGGCAGGAGGTGAATTCCTGCTGCGAGGCCGCATCGCTGCCTGCGGGGTGGGAATGGAATTGGGGTGGGATTGGGATCGGGTTGGGATGGATTTGGGATTGGGATGGGGTTGGGATTGGAGTTGGGGTGGGGTTGGGATTGGGGTGGGAACGGGAATAGGAATGGGGATGGGATGGATTTGGGATTGGGGTCGGGATGGATTTGGGATTGAGATGGGGTGGGAATGGGGTTGGGGTGGATTTGGGATTGGGGTTGGGATGGGAATGGGGTTGGGGTGGGAATGGAGTTGGGCATGGGAATGGGATGGATTTGGGGTTGGGATAGATTTGGGATGGATTTGAAACGGGGTTGGGAATGTGAAAGGGGTAGGAATGGGGTTGGGAATGGGAGGCGATTGGGGTTGGGATGGAGTGGGATGGATTTGGGATTGGGATGGGGTTGGGACTGGGATGGGGATGGGGTTGGGAATGGGTTTGGGATTGGAGTGGGTTGGGATGGGAATGAGGTGGGATGGGGTTGGGATGGGAATGGAGTTGGGAATGGGATAGATTTGGGTTTGGGATAGATTTGGAATGGATTTGGGATGGGGTTGGGAATGGGGGGCAATTAGGGTTGGGATGGGGTTGGGATAGGAGGGTTAGGAATGGGAATGGGATGGGGTTGGGATGAAGGATAATGGGAATAATGCAGGGTCCCATGAGGTGTTGTCCCCGATCCCAAACAGGGAGAACAACTCCAGATGGGATTAGGGATTGGGAATAATGGGAATAATGGGAATAATGCAGGATCCTGCTGGAGTTCTGCCCCCAGTCCCAAACACGTGAACACCTCCATTTGGGATTAGGATTGGGGATAACCAGGACGCCCTTCCCAGGGCTGTGACCCCCCTGTCCCCCCACACCCACCGACTTTCCCAGCAGCCTCTGAGAGCTTCTGGAACTGCTCCACCAGCTGTGGCTCCTGCCGTGCCAGCTCCTGCATGGCCTCCTGGAACTCAGCCGCCGCCTGCGCCGCCAGCTCGCCCTCAAAGAGCTCCTGGAAGAACCTTTCCTGCGAGGAGAACAGCGAGTCCTGCCCAGCACGGCATAGCACGGCCCCAGAGAGGGCACACGCAAAGGGGGGCCGGGGTTTTGGGGTGCTCACCTTGGCGGAGTCGGCGGCTGAGGGAGGGGAAGGGGGGCAGGAGGAGCTGGCGGGGGCAGGGGGCGCGGGGCGGCTGCGCTCGAAGTCGTCCAGGGCACCTGAGGGGGGCTTTGGGGTCAGGGGGTACCAAAATGGGGGTGCAGCCCCACAGGGAGGTCATGGGCACCCAGTGGAATGGGTGTGGTAAAGTGTACAGCAAAAAATTGCACCCCAATAATCCCTACCCCTAAAACTGCACACCAATAACCTCTACCCCAAAAAGTGAACCCCAATAACGTCTATCCTAAAAGTGCAGTCCAAAACTTCATCCCAGTAACCCCAGCCCCTGATTGCACCCCAAAAACTGCACCCCAATAACCTCTACCCCAACACTGCACACCAAAAACTGCACCCCAAAACTGCGCCCCAGTAACTTCCACCCCAAAACTGCGCCAAATAACCCCTAACCAATTGCACCCCAAAAACTGCACCCCAATAACCTCTACTCGAAAACTGCAGCCCAGAAACTGCACCCCAATAACTCCTACCTCTGATTGCACCCCCAAACTGTACCCCAATTACCTCTACCCCCAATTACACCCCAAACCTGCACCCCACTAACCCCTACCTCTAACTGCACCCCAATAACTCCCATCCCAACTGAACCCAAATAACTGCACCCCAAAAGCTTCATTCCCCTGTACCCCCATAACCTCCAGACTTCCCCCAGACCCCAACAACCCCAGACCCCAACAACCCTCAGACCCCCTCTCACCCCAATGACTCCCCCGGTCCCTCACGACCCCCAGCCCCTCACGGCCCTCCCTCACACCAATAACCCCCAGTCCCCCCTGGACCCCAACAACCCCCAGACCCCCCTCACTCCAGTGACCCTCACCCCAATGTCCCCCCCGGCCCCTCATGACCCCCAGCATCCCCCGCTCCCCTCTCACCCCAATGACCCCCGACCCCCCTCGCCCCCCATCGCTCCCAACGCCGCGCAGCCTCCCCACACCCCGCTGACCCCCAGGCCCCTCCGGTCCCCCCGGTCCCCCCCGGGCCACCCCTCACTCTCCAGCAGCTCCTCCAACTCCGCGTCGGGCCCCGGGCCCGGGCCCGGCTCCGCCGCCATCTTGGCCCACTCCGCCCTGCGCCGCCAGGGGGCGCTGCCGCGGGACACGCCCCTTCCCGCCCACGGGACACGCCCCCCGGAAAACCCGGAACGGAATCGGGAGAGGGAACGGGAACGGGAACCGCCCACAGGGACACGCCCCCCCCGGAAAACCCGGAACGGAATTGGGAGAGGGAACGAGAACGGGAACCGCCCACAGGGACACGCCCCCCCCGGAAAACCCGGAACGGAATCGGGAACGGGAACCTCCCCAGAGGACACGCCCCCCCGGAAAACCCGGAACGGAATCCGGAACGGGAACCGCCCCAAAAGCCCCTCCCAGAAAACCCAGAACATATTTAGGAATGGGAATGGGAGCGGGAACGGAAATGGGAACCGGAATGGGATTGGGAATGGGAATGGGAATGGGAGTGGGAACAGGAATGAGAACGGGAATAGGAATGGGAGTGGGAATGGAAATGGGAAATGGGAACAGGAGAGGGAATGGGAACGGGAACGGGAATGGGAGCAGGAATGGGAGTGGGTACAGGAATGGAAATGGCAACGGGAACGGGAGTGGGAAATGGGAGCAGGAACAGGAGCGAGAATGGGAACGGGAACAGGAATGGGAACGGGAACAGGAAAGGGATTGGGAATGGGAACGGGAGTGGGAACAGGAGAGGGAACGAGAATGGGAATGTAAATGGGAATGGGATTGGGATCGGGAATAGGAACGGGAGCAGGAACAGGAATGGGAACAGGAACGGGAATGGAAGCAGGGACTGGGGTTGGGAATAGGAACCGGGACCAGGAACTGTGCCTGGGAGCCCCATCCCAAATGTTGGGGTCCTGCTCCCTGAAATCCCAGATTTTGGGGTCACAGAACCTGCACATCCCACTTTTGGGGTCCTGGATTTTGGGGTCCCAGAGCTTGGATGCCCAAGATTTTGGGGTCCCATTTTTGGGGTCCCAGCACCTCCCCCAGTGTCCCCCCTGTGTCCCCGCTGGGGACAAAGCAAGGAACAACCCCCGAGTGTCCCAGGGGGGTTGGGACGGACCCCGAGCCCCCCAAAACCGCCGGGACCCTCCTGGGGACCCCCCCCCAGTCCCGGGCGGGGTTGGGGCAGGGCGGGCTCAGTCCCGGGTGGGATTTAGGGGCAAGAATTGAATTTATTGTGCAGAAAAATGAAAAATGAGACAGAAATCAAAGTTTAACTTTCCTTCCTTCCATCGGGGGGGGGGGGCTCTGCTCGCTGGGACCACCCTGGGGTGTCCCCAAAACCCCAGAGTGTCCCCAAAACCCCCCGGGGTGTCCCCAAAACCCTCCTGGGGTCGCTCTGGGCTCGTTCTTGGGATTGTCCCAAATTCCTGCGGCTCTGAGGGACAGAGGGACAGGGGACAGGGACAGGGGACAGGGACAGGTCCTGGTAGCCCCAGGGAGGGACAGGGGACAGGGACAGGTCCTGGTGGCCCCAGGGAGGGGACAAGGCCAGCTGCCAGCAGCTTGTGGTGGCCACGGTCACAAGGGACAGGGACAGGACACGGTGGCCACAAGGAGGGGACAGGGACAGGGACAGAGGGACGGTGGCCATGGGCAAGTTGGGCACCCACAGGACAAGGGGACACACTCGTGTGGCTGTCCCCAGTGCCACCCAGTGCCACCCCCCGGTGCCATCCCGGTGTCACAGCACGGTCTCATGGATGTCACCGCTGTCCCCAGGGTGGCATTTGGGGACCTGGCAGCTTCCTGAGTGGTGGCACTTGGGGACCCAGGGTCACCCTGGTGTCACAGCACATTCTTATCGATGTCACCACTGTCCCCTGAGTGGCATTTGGAGACCCAGTGCCACCCCCGGTGCCACCCCGGTGTCACAGCACGTTCTCGTAGTCCCCGCTGTCCCCTGGGTGCCACCTCGGTGCCCGCAGCTCCGCGTAGGTCACCTGGGGCTCCTCGGGGGTGGCACCTGGGGACCCTGCGGGAGACACCGGTGCCACCCAGTGCCACCCACGGGTGCCACGTCCCTGTGCCCGCACTCCTGCCATCTCCTGGGTGGCATCTGGGGACCCGGTGCCACCCACAGTGCCACCCCCGGTGCCACCCAGTGTCTCCCAGTGTCCCACAGTGTCCCCAAGTATCACCTAGTGCCACCCCCAGTGTCCCCCAGGGCTACCCAGTGTCCCCCCGTGACACCAAGTGCCACCCCCAGTGTCCCCCAGTGTCACCCAATGCCACCAAGTGTCCCCCAGTGTCTCCCAGTGCCACCCCGTGTCACCCCCAGTGTCCCTCGGTGTCACCCCTGGTGCCAACCTCAGTGCCACCCCAGTGTCACAGCACATTCCCATCAATGTCACCACTGTCCCCTGGGTACCATCTGGGGACCCAGCATCTCCCTGGGGGTGGCATTTGGGACCCCGGTGCCGCCCCCAATGCCACCCCCAGTGCCACCCCCGGTGCCACCCGCTGTCCCCACTCACCCGCTGCCCTGGCCATGGGCACCACGTGGCTGTAGAGCACCTCCTCCCCCTCGAGGGGCACCACGGGGGTCCTGTGGGGACAATGGGGACAGGGGGGTGGCCTCCAGGTGGCATCTGGGGACATGGGGACACCCCCGGGCCCCTCCCTCACTCACCTGTCCTGGGGTGTCCTGGGGGCTGCGGGAAAAGGGGGGTGACAGTGGGGTGACAAGGGGGTCAGGGGTCCTAAAATTGTCCCCATTGTCCCCATTGTCCCCATTGTCCCCCACCCCATTGTCCCCATTGTCCCCACCCCATTGTCCCGACTGTCCCCATCCCATTGTCCCCAACCCTGTGTACCAACTGTCCCCATTTTTCCCATCCCATTGTCCCCATTGTCTCCACTATCCCCATTGTTACCCACTCCATTGTCCCCCCATTGTCCCCTGTGTCCCCATTGTCACCCACTGCATTGTCCCCCCATTGTCCCCTGTGTCCCCATTGTCACCCACCCCATTGTCCCAATTGTGTCCCAATTGCCCCCCCCTTGTCACCACCCCATTGTCCCCACCCCATTGTCCCCATTGTCCCCCCAGTGTCCCCCGTGTCACCCACCACGGCGGTGGCACCGCTGCCATCCCACGATGGCCGCCCCGAGCAGGACCAGGGCCAGGAGGGAGCTGCCAACCCCTGCGGCCACTGCTGGGGACAGAGGGGACACTTTGGGGTCACCCAGGGTGGACTGCCCCCCTCTGTGACCCCGAGTGATGCCACCTGTGCCCTGTCACCTCTGTGTCACCTCTGTGTCACCTCCAGGGACAAATCCGTGGTTCCAAGCCCCCACAGTGACCCTGAGTGATACTACCTGTGCCCTGTCCCCTCTGTGTCACCTCTGTGTCACCAGGGACAGAGAGGGGACAAACCCGGGGTGCTGAGCTCCCAATGAGTGACGCCACCTGTGCCCTGTCACCTCTGTGTCACCTCCAGGGACAAACCCAGGATTCCAAGCCCCCCACAATATCCCCGAGCGCCATCACCTGTGTCCCTGTGTCCCCACGTTGTCACCTCCAGGGCCAGCTCAGGGCTGAGTGCCCGGAACACGCGGTGCCCGTCCTGTCCCAGCTGGTTGGTGGCCACGCACTGCCAGGTGCCCGAATGTCCCACATCGATGTCCCCGAGCTCCAGGAGGGGACCCCGGGCCACCTCCTGCCCGTTGTGCAGCCAGGTGAAGGTGACAGGGGCTGAGCCCACCTGCACCGAGCAGCGCAGGGTCACGTTGTCACCTGTGTGCACCTGGTGTGACAGGGGACCAGGGGTGATGGTGGCATTGGCCACGGGCACTGTGGGGACACAGGACAGAGGGTGATGGTGGCATTGGCCACGGGCACTGTGGGGACACAGACAGGGTTGGCACCAGGCGAGGTGGGATGGGGTTGCCGTGGGTGGGGTCACCCCGATCCCGAGGGTCCCACTCACCCAGGACGGTGACATTCATGGTGTCACTCTCGGCCACGCTGTCCCCGTCGCTGACCCGGCACCGGTACTGGCCGCTGTCATTGTCCCCAACGTGTCCCAGCTCCAGGCGGGGGCCGGTGCCCAGCGGTGCCCCCGAGCCCTCCCGGTGCCAGGAGAAGGACAGGGGACCTGTCCCCATGGCCACTGTGCAGCTCAGCACCAGGCTGTCCCCAAGTGCCACCTGTCCCCCGGGGGGCTGCGCTGACAGGGACACACCCGAGGGTGGGACCCCTGTGGGAGGAGGGGACAGCAGGGGACAGTGAGGGACACAGGGGAGGGCAGAGAGGGGCAGGGGGACCCCAGGGAGGGAGGGGGGTGCAGAGATGGGGGGGCTTGGAAATAGGGGGGGACAGGGAGGGGACACCGGGAGAGGGAGGGGGGTGACAGCAGGGAGGGGTGAGGGGACACAGGCAGGGATGGGGGGACTCGGGGACAGTGAGGGGGGGCCGGGGACAGGGATGGGAGGACATGGGGAGGGACCTGGGAAGGAATGGGGGGACTGGGGACAATAGGGGGGGACCTAGGGAGGGATGGGATGACTGGGGACAGGGATGAGGGGACATGGGGACAGAAGGGGGGGGACCCAGGGAGGGGTGGGGGGGACCGGGGACAGAGATGAGGGGACTGGGGACAGAGATGGGGGTCCCGGGCAGTAATGGGGGGACATGGAAAAGGTGTTGGGGAAGGATGGGGGTACCCAGAAAGAGCTGGGGGACCCAGGGTGGCACCCGGGAAGGAATGGGGGACACGGGCCATGGTTGGGGGACCCGGGGAAGGATGGAAGGAGCTGGGGAGGGACCCGGGCAGAGATGGGGACACCCGGGAATGGTGTCAGGGAGGGTTGGGGATCCCCAAGCAGGGCTGGGGGACATGGGAGGGGACTCGGGAAAAGAGGGGGGGACCCGGGGTGGGATGGGGGGACACGGGGGGAGTGATGGGGGAACCCGAGGAAGGACTCAGGGTGGGCTGGGAGCACCAAGTCAGGGCTGGGGGACTCAGGAAAGGTGTCAGGGAGGGCTGTGGGTGCCCAGGCAGTGATGGGGGTCCCCAACCAGGGGATCGGGGAGGGATTTTGTGGGGGCTCCCCGTGCCCATCC